GGCACCTCCTCGCCCTGGGACGTGCACATCGTGCACACCAATGACATGCACATCATGCACTCACGCTACATTGTCTTTTTCGGCTTCTTAGTATTATTACTCTTTCTTCTTCTTTGCTTCTTATTCTTATGGTTTATCAGTATTCCTCTTCTTCTTACTCCTTCCTATTTATTCTTGTTCTTGTTATTCTTACTATTATGACTATTATGTTTCTTCTTTTTTCTTCTTCTTCGTCGTCTTAATCTTCTTTGTCTTTATTGTACTTCCTCATCCTCGTCTTGATGTGATTGATCTGCTTTTTGCGTGCAGTGAAGGTAGGCCAAGTGTTGGAGGCAATGATGACTGCAATCTGGACTCGCCGGAGATTAAGAACCAAATGCACCGACTCACCAGAAAATGAGGACCCTGTGCCCCTCCCGCATTGGCAGCTGCATCCCAGCATTCCTCAAAACTGGAAACTTATTCTCCCTTCCTCACATCCCACTCTTGCTAGTTGTCTGGGAACCCCGGGCTCTACATCTCGCCTCTGAGTCCACCTCGCTGAGCTTTGCATTCGAAATCCGAGGTTTTGGCTTGAAATCCATTGCTGCCTCGAGAACCTCACAGGGTGCACCCAACCAGGGCATATCAGGGCTGCAGCAGCTTTGGGTACCCAGCGGCCTCTGTCGAAACACTGGGGACTTTTGCTGGCTCCTTGGGCGTGAACCACGGGAAGGCCTTGCGGTTGAAGCCTGGCATGGAGAACGTCACAGGGGTCGTGTCAGGTTCAGGGTGCAGGTCCTTGCCTGCGTTTGTGCCATCACGGTTCTCACCGAACTTTTCCATGTACTGCCGAAAGGCCTCGTCGTCATCATTGGATGGCTGCTTCCTTGCAAGGCAAGCATTCTCCCTGCCACTCATACTTAATGTGAGCACTTGCAGCCAAGCCAGTGCTTGCGAGAGTCACATCCATAACTTTCTCGGGAACAAGCTCATCAAATGCAGGGGCAATTGGTGCAGGACTTGGTCTGCTGACGGACGGAACCTCTCCAAACTTGCTGGCACACATCTTTCTGCACAGCATGCTAAAGCGCCAAGCAAGGAAGAATGCATGCAAACATGTGTGTCTGGGGTAAAGCTGAGAAGGATCATGCTTCACGTGACATGACTGAGGCACAGGTGGTCGCGCCTGGTCCTCAGCAGCTTGCTTTGAGACCCACTGGGAGAACTTGCCCCCGCGAGTTGCTTTTTCCGAGGCCTGGCCATGCAAGGGGTTTGCTCGAAACGGGATATATAGGGCTTTAGGGTTAAGGGGTTTGGGGTTACGGTTAAGGGCTTATACAAGGGTGATATGAGGACAAGGACATGGAAACAGGGTGTAGGGTTGAGGGTTTCCAGAAATTAGAAGGGCAGTTTTCAGGGTCCAGAATAAGGAGTACCAAACATGGTGAGTTGTGTTAGGGGGTCTCCCAATTTTGGGAGTGTCTCATATCATTTTGGATTCAGGGCTTGGGCTCGGGCTAGCATCATATCATTTTGGAATCAGGGTTTAGGTTCGGGCTAGGGGGTCACCCCGCAAGCAGGAATCAAATGATTATATCATTTTACATGCACAAATTGGCCCGAAATTGAGGAATACCCCAGAAAGATGAGGTGCTTCTTCCTGGCTGACTAGACATCAAGCACAGGCTGTAATCAGAACCACGGCAAATCATCTTCTCCTTTTTGCCATTGAACTCTCCCAGTATGTGAGCATGGACTCCTAATAATTCCTCATCCATAATATCTCCACTGCAGCATATGAGGAGTATCGGGTTTAGGAAACAACCCCGACCTCACAGGTGGAGGCCATACTCAGCAGGTCGGAAGAAGGAGATGACGAGCCCTGGTGCCCTTGAGCCGCAAAACTGGCTAATATGACAACCCAAGCATTAAGAACATGGCAGCACACAAATGCATCTATGCATACCTGTGCATTTCTACAAATGCAAGTTCTGCAAGAGGGGACCCGTTGGATCCTGGCTGGCGGCGCACACTCTCCCACCATCTTTTTTCAGGGCAGCAGTTGACCGGAAGAGCCAAGTTCGACAATGTTTAACACTGTGATCTGTGTCATCTAGCGTCTATCCTAAAAGCTCCAGAGTACATCGAGCTGCTTTCACAGCTTGTGTTGATGGCTTGGAATTCAACACAAAATCGCATGCGGGATGCAAATATGCTGGCGCTGAAAGGCCCTAACTTCACTTGCCTCAAGCCATCACAAGTGCATCCGAATGCACAGTGTACCACCAAGTTTGCAGGACAAAAATCTTTACCTCAGAAGTGCGCCGGGATCTTGGGCTTGAGAAGGTCACTCTTCCGCGTTGAGCTCCTGGCAAACATGCTTCTGCAGAGCTGCGATCCTCAACTTCTCCAACTTTGAGCGCCGAGACACCGTGCCAACCACATCACGTTCAGGAAGTCGGAGGAACGGCCCATAGCAGCCAGGCCGAGGCTGCCAGAGTTGCTGGGCGGTGTCCTTAACCACCAATGTCTTCCCCAGTTCCAAGCTTCGAGCTACTTGGAGCAGTAGTGGTTGCGATGGCATGGGCACTACTACTGGCAGCAACAGATGCATGATAATGCCAAGCCAGGGCTCGGTGGCGCGTACCTTCGCAGGTTGCCTCCCCACTTACCACGGAAGGTGCGCCCTGACACGAACTTGTAGATGGCTTTGGCGTAGTGCTTCCGCAGGTTATTGAGGCCTCAGCACTACACCGTCACTGCGCACTGCCGCTCTCTCTGCTGGCTGTCACAGACCTAAACACAGCTGACAGTGCTGTTGCTGCACAGATTTATTGGTTTTCACAGTACTCTACACGCACGTGTCACAAGGCACGTAGCGGCCAGGATGCTGGGCGGCAGAACCAGCGTGCG